CCCGCCAGTCCCACAGCTGCTCAGACCCAACCAAGTAAACACAGAGACTTATATTGCTTACAAACTGTATGGCCGTGTCAGGCTTCTTGCTAACTGTTCTTATAGCTTAAATTAATCCATTTCCATAAATCTATACCTTGCCACGTGGCTCGTGGCTTACCTGCATCTTCACATGCTGCTTGTCCTGGCGGTGGCTGCAGTGTCTCCCTGCCTCAGCCTTCTGCTTCCCAGAATTCTCCTCTCTCCTTGTCCTGCCTATACTTCCTGCCTGGCCACTGGCCAATCAGTGTTTTATTTATTGACCAATCAGAGCAATTTGACATACAGACCATCCCACAGCAACATCCCACAAAATCCATGATGTATTTTAAGAGGGTCAGGGTACAGGAGTGGATAAGTAAATAAAGGGGTGTTGGGGCTAGATTAGGAGTTATGCAGCCATGGAGGGAAACAATAATTTAATCATTTGGTGAAAGAACAACAACATAAATAGCAGGAGTGGAGCTCCTGAGGCCCTTGGAGGATAGGAACTGCAGAGGAATTAGTGCTACCTACCCCCCAGACCTAGCACCAAAACCTGGCAACTATCTCCATTGTCTATCTGCTGGAGTCAAGTGGGATCAGTCACTTAATGACCCACATGAGGTTTCTTGCTGATACTGATGTGACACAGAAACAGAAATTTCCAGGGCCATGGCTAGCAAATTTGGACACCTTCATGCATCTACATGTGGACCAGCATAAACTTGTTTGTATGTGACTAATGTGAATCCACAAAATTCAACCTGCTGCAACAGTTACGTATGTTATTAATGCTGCATCTAAATGTAAGCATGGTTATGTGGTGATCTAATAGTAGTTTGTGCTTTATACTAGTATATGCTGGAGAGGGGGCCACAGAGCATCTTTCTGTTGCTGATATGTGTCCATTTTATCCCCTGTATTACTCCATAAGACTATTTAAAGTGAGCCGGGCGGTGGTGGCGCACGCCTTTAATCCCAGCACTCGGGAGGCAGAGGCAGGCGGATCGCTGTGAGTTCGAGGCCAGCCTGGGCTACCAAGTGAGCTCCAGGAAAGGCGCAAAAGCACCCCGAAAAACCCTTTCCCGAAAAAACAAAAAAAAAAAAAAAAAAAAAGACTATTTAAAGTGATGCCACCCTTGTAAGCTCTTGGCCTGTCCTAGACAGGAAATGGTTCCTTACCCCTGATACCACTGTCTATTCTTCCAGAAACAATGGTTAGGAACCCATCATAAATTTTAGCTACTACAGTCAATGAGATGACATTAGCTCTGTAAGGCCAGCAACTTATTCTAAACTGACTTGTATAGGGTGCAATGGGTAACAGACTGGACTTTGAAACTTCCAGGTTCAACAGAGTATGAAACTTTCAGGTATGTTAACCATTTTAGTTAACCTTCCATTAATATAAAGTATCAGAGACAATCAACTTTTTTTTTTGAGACACGGTTTCTCTTTGTAGCTTTGGAGCCTGTTCTGGATCTCCCTTTGTAGCCCACGCTAGCCTTGAACTTACAAAGATTCCCCTGTCTCTGCCTCCCGAGTGCTGGGATTAAAGGCATGCGCCGCCGCCGCCGCCGCCCGGCTCTTTTGCTTTTCTTTTTTTTTTTTTCTCCCCCACCACCACCCCCACCTCCCCACCCCCGACAATCAACTTAAATAGAGAACATGCTTCTTTTTTCACAGTTTTAGAGGCTTTAGCCCACAATGCATGATGGAAGTGAATGAGAGTGAAAGGGGCTGGAGAACCACTCATCTCTCTTTCAAAAAGTGGGCATGTCTCACGTGATCTGAAAACCTCCCACAAGGCCTTATCACATAGAGGTTCTACCACCTTGCAGGAGTGTGAGGCTAGGAGCCAAGATTTAAGCATATAGGCTTTGGGGGGACATTTCACATTCAAACCATAGAATTCACCAACATCTTTGTATTTGGCTTCATTCTAACAGCCAGGTGGAACACCACACTTGAGATGCAACACTCTCTACAGCTAGAATAATTTCTTTCAGGATCAGATATATTCGCTTAACTCAAAAAATTTATATTTAATGCTGTATTCTAAAACTCTAATGTGGAGCCAAGAAGCAAAATCAGATTGGCATCTATAGAAATGATTCCAATTTCACTTTGCTGTTGTTATTTTGTTTCTGGAAGCTTTTCAGTCTGTCTGTCTTTTTCTAACCCACCTTTGGCCAAGCTGATAAGAAATCTCAGAATTTGGGGATTTTGCTCAGTGATAGAGTGCTTACTGAACAAGTGCAAGGCACTTGTCTATCTACTTAAGCAGAAAAATAGAGGAGAAATCTCTGATATTTCTCCTTTAATATTAGTAGGAAGTTACAGCCAAATGACTCCCTGCCCACACATTAGAATTCTCAACATGTTCACAGCAAACACCAATACCAGTTTCCCTATCCATTTGGGAACCCACTCTTCTCTCCCATGAAAGAATTATTCAGTCATGCTTTCCTGTTATTTGTGTGGTGGCAGAGGCTTGACACCTGAACTAAATGTTAGGTGGAGCCAAACCCATTAATTCCTTGGAGACTGAGTGCAAAAGTTCTTTTCTCTATGAGCACACTCACAGAATGGCTTTATTACATGCCCAAAACTTTAGTCCCCAGATTTTAAATGGCCTGGGTTCTATGAGGGAATGCTTCCATTAAGTGACAGGTGAGAGTTTCTACTAAACCTGAAGCTACAGTTGCTACCTAATGATTTCAATTTCTTCATTATAGTAGATGATCAGTCACAGAAAGGAGTTTACATGTCAATGGGACAAAATGACTCTGATTACCATCTCAACCTAAGGAATACTGCTGTATAATGGAAATAGGAGGAGTATGTCAAGTTTTCAAATAAGTATTTTAACTTCCCCACACACTGAGAAAAGCAATTTTTTAAAAATTCCTCTAACAACCGAATTTTTAGGAGAATATATTTATGATTAAAATATAAAACTAGTAGTGTCTAAGGAGAAATATAGAGTCTGTATGTTGAACAATAACAGAGCACATAAAGTCAAGCCTATACAAGAAATAATATAATTCACTATAATTTCCTTTCAAGGGGACTTAGAGGAATATTCCATTATAATTTAAGTAACTGCTCATCAGAAATACTTAACTACATGACAGAATAATCACGAAATCAATGAAACAAGGTAGACAGTAAGTGGATGGGAAATAAATCCAAATGGAAATACTCCACCCAAAAGAAATGCTCACTGTTGAAAAGAAACAGCTGAAGGAACTACTTCCAGAATCACAGAGAAACAACATCCAAATCACAATGAATACATGGTACAAATAATACCTGTAGAACTCTGGAAATTAATAACAGGTTTTCAACCATTCCAAACATTTGTTGTAGATGAGTAGCAAATCAAATGAACAGTGTGCTGTGTTTCATTTTAATTTGCTGTATTCTGATCCTTCACCCCAGATGAGCAGAAGTGGTGAACACCTGCTTTACAATTATGTCACTGGCAGAGCTTGTAGCCTGGACCAATGGAAATGTGGAAAACAATAACAAAATTAAAATCTCAACACCACTTTATCCCCAGATAATGATCATTATTTCCCACATCTGACAGCTTTCTGCAATACTCTTATTATCAGTATAACTCATTTGGTTTTTCTAGAGTTCATGCTGTGTGAAGTCGCCTATTCTCAAGGTGTCTGGAGGGAAAAAAGAACACCTTTGGTGGCATTTGTTAATGTTGCAACTTAGAGAGATAAAGATGTCACTGAAAGCTAAGTAGACGCTGCATAAAAATCTTAAAATGAAAAATTTGAGAGGAAAACATCCACAGGATGCTTTGGAGAGTTCCAAAATAAATGAGATCTGGGAAGGTTGTGGCCAAGAAGTACCTGAGGAAGGCCTAAGCTTTAGTTTAGTGTTGGTGCCAATGCTCTGTGCCAGTACTCTGCACAAAAAGAAACTAGGGGCTAAACCGGAGCTGTCAACTCCCTGACCAACTGCAGAAACCATTCCAAGAGAATGCACTCACAGAGCAAGCACCTGGGGAAGAGCTGGACTATTCATTGCTATAGAACATTGAATAAAATGCTTCCAATTATTAGCTGGCCACTGTTGTAGGAGAGACTTCAATGGCCACAGATGATGTAGTAAAGGGAATCATTTGAGCAAAATCACTATGTGAGAAAACAGCAGGAACATCAACCAGAGCAACAGATTTGAAAGAAGCAGATCTCTACTACTGCATTATTTAACAGTTTAACAAAAATAGAAACACAGCATACACAAATAGCCCCCCAAAATAAGTATGACTCACAAAGGCAACAGGATGTGTTCCTGATCAAGCCAGACACTGGATCACCAAGGCATGTAAATCAGGTATTATAAATGTTTAATGTACTGAAAGAAGCTTAAATGAAGTTTTAAATGTAGGAAAAATCTCTCTCCAAATTAACAGTACCAAGAAATGGACATAATTTAAGAAAGCACAACAAAGCAAATAAATTCATAAAACAGAAAAGAATTTGAGTATGCTGGAATACATCAATAATCTCAATATTTAAGAGGCAGAGGTAGGGAGACCATCATAGATTACACAAACAGAACCTGTCTAAAAAAAAGACAGAGACAGAAAACAATTCCTGGAACTGAAAAGCACAGTAATAAAAGTTTCCCAATTGAAGCTCCTTCCTCTCTGATGACTCTAGCTTGTGTCAAGTTGACATAAAAGTGGCCGGTACTATTACAATCTCAAAAATGAAAATAAAAAGTCGAATGTGAGCTAAGGAGATGGCTCAGTGGATAAAGCACTAGCTTCATAAGCATGACAACCTCAAATCTATCCAGACAGGCCCCATGAAAAGCCTTGTGCATATGTGTGTTTGTAATTACAGCACTGGGGAAGCAGAGACAAGAGGAACCCCAAAGCTTGCAGACAGGCAACTAAGCTAGTCAGTGAGTTCAGGCTAGTGAGAAATCATGTATCAAAAAACAACATATATGGGTCCCGGCTGGTCGCCTGCGCGGCGCCTGTGGCCGCTGCTCTGGCGCGGGATGGTCTCGCAGCAAGCGGGCCCGGCGGTGTCTTCGGCTCCCCGGCTTCCTCGGCTGGCAGAGCGATGGCTTTCGGCGGGGCCCGCGACCGGCCTGCCCCCGAGGCTGGCGCGCGGCCTGCACCGTGGGCCTCGGCCTGAGGAGCGGAGCGATGGCGAGGCTGGCCCGCAGCCGGGAGCCGCAGATCACATTGGCACCAAGTTTGACATCGACATGCTGGTTTCACTTCTGAGGCAAGAAAATGCAAGAGACATTTGTGTGATCAAGGTTCCTCCAGAAATGAGATACACAGACTACTTTGTCATCGGTAGTGGGACTTCCAGCCGACACTTACATGCTATGGCCTACTACATTGTGAAGATGTATAAACACCTAAAATGTAGAAGTGATCTGCATGTCAAGATTGAAGGGAAGGACACGGATGACTGGCTATGTGTGGATTTTGGCAGTATGGTGATCCATTTGATGCTTCCAGAAACCAGAGAAACCTATGAATTAGAGAAACTATGGACTCTACGTTCTTTTGATGACCAGTTAGCTCAGATAGCAGCTGAGACGTTACCTGAAGACTTCATTCTTGGACTAGAAGATGACACCTTATCCCTGACTCCAGTGGAGTTCAATGTGAATGAAACAGAGTGATGCCTTTCATCCCTGAGGTGTGACTGAGCCATCTGCAAGTGCAGGTCTTAGCCCTGTCCTCTTGGGCACTGCAAGTTTTGTCTACCTCTTGGACATTCATGCTGATGACGGCCATGCAGAGAGACTAGGTAAATGAGCTCACAGACCAAGAAACAGTATTCAGTTCCAGTTCTTCAGCACACTGCCTTTACTTTTGAGATCCTACTAGGATTACTAGCACTGATTGCCAAGATTAACTTAAGATCTCTGTTCGGATTATTAAATTTGTTTAAATGTAAGTCTTATTTACCATGGAATACTCCAAGTGGCAGAAGAAAGTAGAATATTTAGATGATTAGGAAAAGCCATGCAAATCTGTAGCTATTAGTTCATATTAAATAGGATAATCAAGGTTCACCTTAATGTACCAGGGGCTGCTGAAGAAACAAAAAAACCAACAACTTACTGGTAGATTGCTGCCTAGTGTAAGATACATATCGTAGGAATGAATTCAAGAATACTCAACTGAGAACATACTACAAAAAGCTGTGGCTTATGATGAAGACTTTATTCTGCATCAAGGTACCTGGAAAACGAAGCTGCATTTGGGGCACATTATAGATGAGAAATGATCCGTATATGGTGAATACAAACTCAGGTATAGATTTACTTAGTGCCAGGTACTCCAGACTACTAATGCTTAAGTGAAAGTAAAACATGATTTGCCACTTTAAAAGGCTAGACGTGAAACATGGCAGAATTGAAACCAGCAGATATAAATGTAGCACCTGTAAGTTTAAAAAAAAAACAAATACTGGAAAAACCAGATACTGAGGAAGAGTTCTGGCCTTGAACACATCTCTCCTGAAATCAAAGCAGGAGAAAAGGTCACTTTTTTTTAAAGCAGTTTAAATCCATCATATGAAAAAAATATGAATGCTAGATGAATTCAGTTGTACAAGGGGCACTTTTTGGTTAAAACTACAAAATAAACTGGTTTTATGAAAAAAAACATATATGTTTTCAGAGGAATGATTGAGAGGCATATCTCTGGCCCTCAAAAGCATATGCAAACATATACATGTAGCTGGAGTTTTCTCCAGTCCTGCCTGGCCCATAGTCAGGACAAATCTCTCTCACCTGCCAGTCCCACAGTCGCTCAGACCCAACCAAGTAAACACACAGAGATTTATATTGCTTACAAACTGTATGGCCGTGGCAGGTTTCTTGCTATCTAGTTCTTCTATCTTAAATTAACCCATTTCTATTAGTCTGTAAGTTGCCATGTGGCTCGTGGCTTACTGGTACCTTACAACTAGCTTGTCATGGTGGCGGCTGGCAGCATCTCTCTGCCACAGTCTTCTACTTCCCAGAATTCTCCTCTCTCCTTTTCTCACCTTTACTTCCTGCCTGGCTACTGGCCAATCAGCATTTTATTTATACAGAGCAATATCCACAGCATACACACACACACACACACACACACACACACACACACACACACACACACACACACACACAATATTTATTCCAGGAATGTAGCATTAGTGATGATATGAAAATCTGTCAACATAAATTTTGGAACAAAATTTGTATCCAGTCAGTTTTCACCATTAATAGTCTAATTTTCATAGAGAGATGGTTAGCTGAGAAGAGTTATAGTGATATTTTATTTGTGCTGAAATGTGATTTTATTTGCATGTTAATAGAGTTGCCTGGAGATCAGAGCTAATAGCAAGCCATTTAGCAGAAGTCTGGCAGTGGTGGCACATGCCCTTAATCTGATCACATGGCAGGCAGAATCTGTGTGTTCAAGGACACAGCCAAGCAGTGACCTGAACCTTTAATCTCAGTACAAACCATAGAGACCTGGAGGTCTGTATAGATAGGCAGTGATGAAGAAGTCATGTGGTTGGGTTTAGAACCAATGAGAAGGCAGAACAGAAAAGTAAAAAGACAGGACACAAGAAGAAGGTCTCTTTCAGGGGAAGGACAGCAGTGAGTGGAAAGATAAAGTGGTCTTGGCTCTTGGCTACTGCTCGATCTCTAAGCTTTTAACTCCTTATTTGGGTCTGTGTTTCTTATTTAATAAGATCATTTAGAATTACACCTACAAAGAGTCCTTTTAAACTCTAGGATCTGAAGCTTGTCCCAGAAACTCTGCTAACATTTTGAGCTACACCAATCAAGAAAAAGAAGAAGAAAAAACTGAAATCACCACAGTCATAACTTAAATTAGGAGCATTGCTATACTTTTCATGAATAGTAAAAGGACCATAAGAGAATAGTGTGAATAGCATGACAACAAAAGAGAACACTTAGCTAAAATATTAGATAACAAAAACTACTGAAAACAACAAATAATAAATAAAATGAAACAGGACCACTAGTCATTAGAGGCACTGAATAAGTAATCAAATATCCTTCAGTAGTGGATTTTACCCAAAATGTAAGGAGAAATTAACACCAATACTTCTGACATTCTTTCATAAGAAAGAAAGTAATTCTTTTTACACATTCTAATTCAGTCAAGGAAATCAGAGTTACTCTGACACTGGGGCCAGGTAAAGGCATCAGAAAAAGAAAGCAATGCTTTATAAATGTAGATCTAAGAATCTGAAACATATATACCAGAAAGTAAAAGCCAGCAGAATACAAATGGAATTTACATCAGGGGCAAGAAGAATCTATCCCAGAAACACAAAGATGGTTCATTGTATAAAAACCATTAGCATAACACATTAAAAGAGAAGAAAAGGCAGGGTGTGGTGGCTCATGCCTTTAATCACACCACCTGGGAGGCAGAGATAGGCAGATCTCTGTGAGTTCAAGGCCAGCCTGGTCTACAGAGTAAGTTCTATGACAACTAGGGCTACACGGTGAGACCAATAAAATAAATAAATGAATAAATAGGGAAAAAAACAAAATCAAAACACCACATAGCCATCTCTATTGATACAGAAAAGAGGTGGACATTATCAGTCTTTATACATGCATTAAACACACACACACACCCACACACACACACACACACAAACACCCACACACACCCCCCCCACACACACACCAAGAATGAAGAAAACTTCACATTATCTGTTTATGATACACTTATAAGTACCATGATATTGAGTGTTAAAAGTCTAGATGTTGTTGGTTTTTCTTTTACTCTAGTCCCATGTTGGGCACCAAAATGTTGTTGGCTTTTCTTTCACTCGAGCTCCATGTTGGGCATCAAAATGTTGTTGGTTGTTTTTTCTACTCTTTTGCTCTTTACTCTTTGCTCTTTGGTCTTTTGGGGGCCTGCCACCCAGCTCACAATTAAATTACACACAGAGGTTTATTCTTAGTTACAAATTCTCAGCCTTAGCTTAGCTTGTTGCTAGCCAGCTTTTCTTAACTTTAAATTATCCCATCTATCTTTGGCCTCGGGGCTTTTATCTTTCTCTGTTCCTGTATATCTTGTCTTTCCTTCTTACTCTGTGTTTGGCTGTGTAAGTGGGTGGCTGGGTGTCCGGCCCCTGAAGTCCTCCTCCTTCCTCTTTCATTCCCTAGTCTTTCTTCTTTCCTCTCAGATTTCTCCTTCTATTTATTCTCTCTGCCTGCCAGCCCCCACCTATCCTCTCTCCTGTCTCGATATCAGTCATTCAGCTCTTTATTAGACCATCAGGTGTTTTAGACAGGCGCAGGAACACAGCTTCACAGAGTTAAACAAATGCAACATGAACAAAAGTAATGCACCTTAAAATAATATTCTATAACACCTAAAGCTTTCTTCTTTTTTATTTAAAATTTTCATACATTATATTTTGATCATATTCTTCTCCCTCTCCCAACTCCTCCCAGATCCTCTCAACTTCTTTAGTCACCCAACTTCTCTTTTTAAGATTAAAAATAAAAATGAATGGGGCTGCTAAATCTTTAAGGGCATATACATCTCTTCACATCCACACTCACATCCAACATCTATAGCCTTTGTGGGCACCTGCACATATCCCCACATATACCCACATAATTAAGAATAATAAAACCATTTCAAATGCAACAAATGAATTAACAAAAAGGTCTGATTTTACCACTTCTATTCAAAACTGTACTGAATATGTTAGTCATGACAAATAGGCAATAAAACTAAATAATAGGTTTTCAAGTTTTATAGTTGAAAATATGATTTTCTTTATTCACAGGTAAAATGAATCTTAAATGTGGGAGATTCTGAGCAAAAGAACACTCCCTAAAATATGTGAAAAGGTTCATCATTCTTTCCATCATAGACACAAAAATAAAAAATTTCTTCCTCATACCAGTGAGAATATACACTATCAAGAAAAAACAAACACAAATCCCATAAGTACTACAATGTGTGGAGAGTATCCTTATACACCTCTAATGGTAATGTAAATTAGAACTGACACTATGGAAATTGCTACACAAATTAGAAAATATTATCATAAGTCTTATCTCTCTTTCTCAAAGTCAAGATTGAAGTCCAAAAACAGGTGTATAAAAATGTGATACATGTACATACAACAGAAATTCATGGTTATTGTGGCAATTTTCACAAAGTCAAGATATACTATACCTTGAACTCCAAAAATGGGTGGATAAAAATGTGATGTATATATACACAATGGAAATTCAGCCATTCAAAGAACAAAATTAGATCATTAGCTGGGAAATGGGTGAAACTGGAGATCATCACATTAGGAAAATAAAATTGTCTCAGAAGACAGCCATATCATGTTTTCTTTCATAGGCAGAATCTTAATTACAACATAACAGAAAAAGTCATGAAAGGAGGAAGGAGACTATTTGGAGAGTAGTGGGGAACCAAAATGAAGAAAGGGGCAAACAAAAGAGGACAATGAAACAGGAAAAAATAAAGACAAACACATGGCTTTCAGCATATGGGAAAAAAATTGTGCTACATGTATGGGTGGCTGGGACTGTTGGTGCATACACACACACACACACCATGAAAGCAGGGAGTTACATCTGGAGAGGAGAGGGACAAAGGAGGTAGAAAGGGGATCGGAGAGCACAATGGGGGTAATTATCAGCAAAGTTAACCATATAGACACCTGAAATGGTATAGTAAAATCCATTATTTCTGTAACCCATTACTAATTAGTAATGATCAATGAATATTGGTGAGATAAAAAGGTCTCATATATACTGCACAGTAGAGTGACTATAGATAACAGCAATATACCTCCTATTTAAAAAATATATTGAAAGTATTCACCATAAACAAATGAGAACACTTTAAAGAATTAGACATGTTTATCATGGCCAAAATATTATGTAGTACATATGTCTACCATACTACATATGGTACCTCATTAATGTGTACAGTTTTAATGTTTTTGTGTAAGGTGTGTAAGGTGAGAATACCTTTTTTTAAAGATAGAATAGTCATCAGTCATCTGACTCCCACAATGTAAAAACAAACCGTTAAATCTAAGGTCATTGTGTCCTGGGAGCAAAATAGTCCATAATTACAAATTTGGCTGGCTTTTTGGTGCTCTTACTTGAAATTAAACCCTTGAATTGAGACCCATCCAACCAATGTCAATAACATGCATCCACACTGCAAAGACTACAAGCCCTTCTGTTAGAGTCTCCTGGAGACTACTAATGTACTAATATACAAGGATTTTTGCCACCTGTTAGCATTCAGACGCACTTCTTGGAAACCTAACCCATAAGCAGATAATACCCTGGCCACCCAGCATCCTGTTCCCTTTAAGAAGACTCCTTCCCCTTTGCTCTGTCTTCCTCTCCCTCCTCTCCCTCTCTTTAATAATAGAAACTT